GCTGCGAGCGATTTACCGTCCTCTAAATACCAACCTCTCCGGAAGCAAACGCATCTCGAACCCCCCTCTCGGATCATCCGCGAATCCATCTTCATTATCGACTGATGCGTCTTCAGGGACAGGCCTAGATATTTTCCGCGAGACAGTGGCGTCGTTAAGATTTATTCACCATCACGGACCGCTATTTTTCACCCGCACGAATCGCCGAGTATTCGACGTGAAATATCGGTTCGTGAGCTGTACGCGCCGACCTATATTCCCGCCTGCTGCACCTCGGTGCAAGAATTTTTTCTTCCCCCGGGCCGACTCGTAACCTTTTCTCTCCCGGGAATTCGAGTGGGATGAATTAATTAAACAGAGACGGAGCGAGAACGCGGGAGTACAATTTTTCGATTGGCGAGCTTCGGACAGTTTGTCGATTATATTTACATCTGGGCGGAGAACCACGCGCGAATCCATCGGAAGGGAAAATAGACGGGAAAAGAAGGGAAAATAATTTTATCCACTTGTTTCGCGTGACGACTGTTCATTCTCTCGTCGTGGGTTCGAAGTGGGGACATTTTCTCAACGTTTGTCCACGGCGACGTTGATATTTCCACGGTTACAGGGAACCTGACTGCCTTCCCTTTGGAAGTAAGTCGACGGGATGTAGTTTCGCGACGTTTCCATTACTCTGATGGGATATGTTTAATGGATACGATGATGGATAGGATGATCTTTGGAGAACCTCGAGAATACATATCGGATTCCTGTTATTTAAGGTTGCGAATTTTCCGCCGAGCATCTGGAGAAGACGATGCAAATATTGAACATGTGTATAAGCTCTAATCTACGTTTGCACTGGATAAGCCGCGAGTTTCAATTGTAAGTTAGGTTGAACGAGGGAGTGGCACGGGTCTGTGGCGCATGTAAATAAGTTTATCCCCGGTTCCGGAGATATCCGCAGGGTAAATATGTAAATTCCGCTGTTTCTCTTTAATCATTTCCCGATGAAAGTGGGAATAATCTGAAGGACTGGTGGTAAGTTGGCGGACAGGTCGATCGGGGTAATGAAATTCAATCTTCAACAAGTAGCCGGGGATGAAAAACGTGTCTGTATGGGGATACAATCGATCGATGAAGCACTCGTCTCTGGAATCAGAGGCTTTAACTCTTTGAGAGACGGTGAAGTTAAGTGAAAAGTATCTTTTTCTCCGTTGGAAAAAATCTGGATAAAAGTATTCCGAAAGAGTAGTTCAATTTGAACGCAAAGCAGTTATCCAACGATTCAGTTGCGCGTCTCGGAACGAGTAAGAACTTGTTGCGCTGTATTCAAAGGACTAAATTCAGTTTTCGTCGGGAACATAAATCCTAGGTTCGACTAGAAAGACAAGATTTCCAGAGGTACGATGTAAAATAGAGTTGAAGAAAGGCGTTTCCTTCGCCTGAGAACCTGTTAAGAACGCGTTTCGGTGGCCAGGATATCGTATTACCGTTGCAACCCTTTCCGCAGTAGTTGATCCTGAAACGAGATCGCCTCCCGAAGCCGCGAGATTTATGCTGTTCGCGATCTCTCCTTACTTCCTCTCTCTCTCTGTTCCTTCTTCCTCCGTCCTTCCTCCGAAAGTGAATATTTATGAAAGATGTGAATAACGAGCGGGATAATTTCCTCGAGAGATCCGAGCTACTCTTGTTTACGACGGGAGCAGCAGCCCTTTCCCGTGGGTGCCTTTCCATGCCGCGGAACCCCTTCGTTCTCATTCATTCGCGTTCCTCGCAACCGAGTCTCGTATTGTTCGCGCTTCCTTCGCTTCTGCGGACTCGAGAGAGAGAGAGAGAAAGACCCTATCGAGACGGCGTCGTGGCGACTATCGCGCTAGAGGCGAAATTGGCTAGACGTTCCCTTGATTCACCTTCCGCTACGTGGAAAAAGAAGAGAAATTTCCTCAAGCTTGTAATTAATTTCAGGAAGAATTTTCCTCGCTGTAGGTAAAATAGAAAAATTTATATTCACCGAGAGACTCTGAAGTTACGACTGCGCCAAGTGCAGTCCGCTCGATGCAACTTCCCCCGGAGTCGTGATCGTTCGGCTTACGACGGTTCGAAAAAGGATTTCCCGTTCGGAAGAAGCGACGTGGTACGTAATGCTGGAATTAGAAACGAAACGGGACACGCGCTCGAGCTTTACGAGATGCACTTTTCCACCCTCTGTCTCTCCTCTCTCTCTTTTCGGCGTCACGCTGGAAAGAGCAATCGCGCTAGCGCGATTCCCGAGGAAACGTCGAAACCTTCGAAGGCACGAAATCACTTTAGCGAAATAGGTGTACGGAATCGCCTTCACCGGATTACCAGAACAGTTTTCTTCCTAGCCTCTTTCTCTTCGAATTTCCCCTCTCAGAGGGGATGCACCCTCTGCTGCGCCTTTTACACTCGTTCAAGCCGCGCCGCGAAAGACTCGCCGTTCCCCCCTCCTCAAATGAATCTCGAAGTTAACAACTTTTTCACCGGGCGAAAGGAGTTCCTCGGGACTGCAGATAGGGCGAGAGAGTCCGAGAACAAGAAGAACGAATAGATGGAAGAGCGAGAAGTATCGTGGGCGCGATGGTAGATGATGGGTAAGGTGTAGGGGTGGTAGTTTGAGAAAAGGAAGTGGAGGCTCCAGTGTTTGAGAGGAAGAGAGAGGCGAAAGCAGGGTTGGCGCGCGGCATCGATCCACGTCCTGCGATCTATTTCGTTGCTCTCGAAGAGATTGCCATTGCGTCTGCATTACTCAAGCTCTCGCTCTCTCGTGTTATCAGGGCCTTTGGCCCAGAGGGTATGTACCCTGGCCGTTTGCTCCTCCGCCGTGCGGATTCGTACGTGTACGGGAACGCGCACGTGTCTAGAGGAACGCGCGCGCGTGTGTGTGTGTGTGTAGGTGGTGCACGTGGATGTAGGGTAGGCGCGCGATTGTGTGGATGGAGAGGCAAGGCCGTGAGGGGGAGAGTTGGCGGGGCGTGTCTGCGGGTGCATTACGCTGATTGCTGGTCGCGGCCTCTCCGGAGAACACAGAGCCCACGGAGGAAGCTAGGAAAAGGTGGAACGAAGACAGAGGCCGTGAACCGACGTGAAAGAAGAAAAGGGAATAAGGGCCCTTCCGCGTTAAGTAAGTGAACGCTGCTCGTACACTCCTCCCGCCAAGCGCGCGGATTTTAATTCTTTAAATGAATGACGCCGGTGACGCTGACTTGCCCTCTGATCCTCCTCTTCCTACTCCTTCTTCTTCCTTTTTTTCCCCTCTTTCTAGCCGTTTCGCGACACGACACGAAGACGGTCGAGTTGGCTCGCCTGTTGCGACGGCTGTGTTTCCTCTTGTCGCGGGGATCGTCGCGTGTTTACCAATCCTCCGGACTGCTTCGGTTCTATTACTTGGGAGTGCATGCTTTAAGAGTGCCGGGAATTATTGTCGAGACGTTTTGTGGGGTAGAAAATTTTAGGAAGTACAGATGTCGCAGTAAGAGAGAACTTGTATATGGTTCTTTTTGAAATCGAAAGTATCCGAGGTGTTGAATTAATTTGCGCGGAAATGGATTTTTCGTGTATCTGTCAGGGGGACAGGTTGAAAAATCGCACGGAAGACGAACACGCGAGCGGGTAAGACGCTAATATCCGTGTAATTGCGTACGCGTCGCTTCGTCTCGCGAAACGGTAACCGTCAACGCGCTGGCAACTCATTATTCTTCTTGTCCTGGGGGCGAGTACCGCCACCATCACCGCTGCTGCCGCCGCCGCCTTCATCTACGCGCACAAATAATCATCGCGAGAGGATTTCCCATTGTATTATTGTGTCTGCCGTTGAATGATAAACTGCGCGTTCTCCACCCCACGGGAAACTGCGTCGTATTCATTACTAATATAGTCGCGGGACGCAATCCTGGATGTGGCTAAAAAAGCACGAAAAAAAGAGAGAAAGCCCCTCGTTTCTCCTAGAGTACACGTGTCGACGATTTCAACTGTTCCACCATCTAACGCATATACGTTCTTCAATGGAAACCAGGTAATTAATCCACAAGTTTCCCCGTTCAACTCGAAAACGAACGAAACGGTTATCAACCATCGCGATCGTCGACGTGTGTTTCGAAAGCGTTCGTATCAAAAGTGGGGAAAAAGAAGGAATATAAACGACATCGCGAAAAATTACTTACAGCATCCAGAGTGAAACGGTACTAAAAAGATTGCAATTCCCTGTGGGGTAGCAGCAAGCTGGCGTTAACTCAAGAAGGATTTCCATGGTGGGGGGTTGGTCGGCCAGGGATTACGAAAACTCGTTAACCGGCTAATGGCCTTAAATGACGAACGACGAGATTTTTCTGCGGTGTACAAGCGGGGAGAGAGAGAGAGAGAGAGAGAGAGAGAGAGAGAGAGAGAAGAGAGGATTGGACCGCGTGATCCAGTTTCACGTGGTACACAGATAATGTACAAGGAAGCGTAACTGTGGCCTGGATAAGCCATCAACCGAAAGAGTAACGAGGATGAGAACGGGCCTGTTAAAATTGGGGGGGAGTCGAGGCGGTAAAACGAGCTGATAGATTATACGGGCACCCCTCCGGCCCGGAGAATCGATCCTTGAATTACGACCACATTATGACTGCGAAACTTGCTAAGGCCGCACTTTCCTACCCGGCAGCGAATTAATCTACGCGAAAGAAGAGAAGAGCCTCGAAGCCGATGATTCATTTCGGAGGAAACGCGCCGAGGCTCGTCGTAGAACGGTTGCGCCAGGAGGATGGGCGAGGTAGATGAAAGCTTGTGGGAGAAGCTAGAGAGGATTCCGGTAACGAGGAACGATCGGCGTCCCTTCGTTCGTCGATTAAACGATCGAGCAAAACGCTGACATACGCAGCGGCCATTGTCTGCGAAATCTGTTGCTGCCTGCTACCCTCTTCTCCATTTACCAAATGATTTCCGAATCGCGAAAAATATTCGAAATTTTTCTTAGATCCCGGCACTCGAAATTTCAAAACGAATCTTCTCTGTTTCAGCCGATAGGCATGCACCTGAAGAAGTACGAGTGGGTAGGAAGGCCAGACATAGGAGACTGTTCTCTATGGGTGAGAACCGCCACGTTGGAATTCGACGACGGGCTATGGCAATGCCAGGTGACAGCCAGCGATTTCACCACGCAGGACGCGTTGGCATCCGAGCCAGCCAGGCTGGTCGTCAGAGGTGAACCTTGAACTTAAAACAATAGCCCGATAGAACAGAGAATGGAAAGCGACAATCGCTAATCAACGTACTATAAACGAGCTTCACACGGGCTAATAAGATATCCATTAGCGCGATGACAATTCCTATTCGTGGCACGTGCACCAGTCTGTCGTGAAAACCGGTTTACCCGTCAAATCTACTCTCGTCGCTTTTCATCGGCATTATTCCCATTGTAGCGAAATTAACGCGCCATTCGTCTGGGGACCAGGCACCGCGACCAATACACCTCTATCGTCGCGTAAAATCCAACGTGAAACTGCGCAATTGGGCGGACGCGAAAAACCGTGGAACACTGTAATACCGATCGTTTCTCGATAGAACCGTATTCAACTTTATTCAACCGTGTTTTTCCGCGATAATTGTCGCGATCAAGCTTCGATATTCTCTCGAGTAAGACGTCTACGAAGAGCACGTTTATCGTATAATAAAGAGAGCTACAGTGGATTAAAGTGTCTATAATCGTACAGGAGAAAACGACGGTAGTTAATCGAGAAATCTGACAAAGGTAATCAACGAAGGAAACGTTTAATCGTAACGATAACGAGGAACATGTGACGTCCGGGGAAGCGAGTGGATCCGCGTGTCTCGAGTTACCCAGCCGCGCGACGGCCAAATTATCCTCCGCTAATTTTCTCATTCCAGTCAGCCCTCAGCGACCGCAGATAGAGTACGCGGATCGTCTAATTCTACCCGGCAGCAACGTGACAGCCCGAGCAGGTGAGATCGCTACGCTCACTTGCAGAGCGCGGTATGGGAATCCTTCGCCTCTAATTAAATGGTTCGTAATTGTTGCACCGTAGATTCCGTACTATTTATCGTCCACCGACCCCTTCCGTATCGTTCTTTCCTGGCTGCTTCGAATCTGCCCTAATTCCATCGATCTAATCTGATCGAAGTTTCAAGACGAGAAGGACGAGATTCGTCTAGATCGTAGATTCGAAGCTGCTAGTGTTTACCGTAATTTCAGCGGCGATCTTGGCGCGAAAGTTTCGAAGGGCCGCGGAAGTCGAGCGAGATGAAAGAGAGATGGCGAAAGGTTCAAGCGGGAAATTGAAACGGAGCAGCGGTTGTAGCCTCGCGTCCGCCAAGGATCCCTTCTGGTTTAATGGCGTTGGTTTTCAAGGAAGCCGATTTCAATGCTTTTAGATTGCGCCGCCTCTCGCTCAATCATCGCCGAGGGAAGCGCCACTCCTTTTCGGGGTTGATTCGATTAGCCAGCGCCGACAGTGACTCGATTTCGTCCTGGACTTTCGACAAACTTAATTCCAACTGTGTCTTTCCTCGCCCGCCTGGTATAGAGAACGACGGGGGTTCCTCGGTAATCGAACGATTACCGCTGTAATTGCTCCGAGTTGGATCGAACGGTACCCGGGCGTGCTGCGAGTCGGCTGAATGATCAGAGTTGCAATCTAAAATAAACCGAGTCACCGAGAATACATAGGAGATTGAATCGAACTTTTACATTCAATTCTCTCGGCGAAGAAAAACATTTCAGCGTTACTCTTGTTCCATATCGAACTGTCATTTCTCAAGTGTAGGATCGACGGAGGATCTGTAGAGATAGAGATCTAAAATCACGGTGAATCGCAACAATTTAATATGTACTTTAACTTCGTTTAACTCTCGCCTTTGAAGCTCGTAAAATGATCGACGCTTTAATTTACAACTTTACCGCGTTTCTTCGTCACGTCGATTACGGTAGGGAAAAAGAGAAAAGGTATAGGAGAAGGAGAGATTGAATCCAATTGTTCAATTGAAATTCTCCAGTCTGGACTCGAGATCACTTTGTGAACAGGCGGAAAGAAACGCGGGGCGAGGAGCTATTATTTCGAAAGAGCCCAGCTCCATCAAGGCTCGCCAATACATGCATAGTCTCATTTGTCGAGGAGCCAGTTAGTTTTCCCCGCGCGAACATCCCGACCCGTAATGCACCCTGTGGATCTTGCCGATGGTCGGGCTGTCCATGAATAATCATGATCCATTCCGACCGGGTATCCAGACGAAGTTAAGGAGCTACCAGGATTTGCTTGCACCCCGGAGGCAGTGAAATAACAGAAAGCCTGCGATGAAACGCAACGCCGGAGTATACGGTTCAATGGAAGACGATGAGCTACGCGAGAAACGTTGATTAATTTATAGGCGAATCAAGACAGGCCTAGAGAAACACGGAAAGTTTCGCCATTCGTGAGAAACTTTAGGCGAGTCGTGTGTCTCGCGTGCTCCTCTTCCTTCCCTCTCACTCACTCGCTCTCTCTCTCTCTCTGTGGGAATTAGCCTAATTGACACGGCCACATGGCTGCGTAGCCTGTGATACGCATAAACGATTGGATCGATGTCAGGTCTGGATTTACGACGTCAGAACTGTCTGGTTCCTCGCAGAATCGTGTTTACAGGCACGCTAGGGGAAACCACGCCAAGTGTAAGTCCAGGAGTCGTGATTCATGCTCCTTCCGGGAGCTTCTAATTCACTCGTTGTCGTGAAATCAAACGAAATAACGAGATAGATCGTTGCACTTTTTTCTCTCTCGAACGGGACACGACTTTGTGAAAATCAATCGAACACTAAGCTCCACGGGCATAATCCTATAGTCGCGTTTGTAGAAAAAGCGGTAATTTATAAAGCAGAAATACCGTTCTCCGTATAAAAGCGAGAGAGTATTAAAATGCTTTCACATAAGAGAAAAGAAGAATGATGTATCCAGCGGTTAAAAGAGATGAAACCTGGGAATGAAGCAGCGTAGGATGAAAAACAATCTCTCTCTATCCGAAAGAATTGATTATTCTCGCAAATCTGCCAGTTTCCTATTATACATTGCACGTACACAACGTTCAATTTCACCCGAGAAATTTCTCCTCTTCGCTTTCTATGCATGACCGGAACAAACAAGCCGCGCGTTTCGTATCGACGGGTGTTCCCGCGGTTATTTATAACATTACAATAACCCGAGCAACCGCGTCGCGTCGTACGTCGCCTGTTATCAGAGCGATAAAAAATCCACGTTAAGTAGACCCAGTCACTCTAACGTGAACGTAGCTAAATTGCCTCGCGAAACGAAAAATTATAGCTCGGGGTTCATCGATCCTTCTCTCTAACACCGGAAAATCGCTATTTTCCTCGTGAGACACACACACACACACAGAGAGAGCAGCGACGAAATCTCCGGAGCTTCAGAACTCGAGACAGTCCGAGATTCCAAAGTGGAGAGGCAAACTTGGGGTGATTACCCGCTCCAATCTTTGGTTTCGCAACGAAACGAGAGGCACGAGGAAAGACGAGAGTGTCGGAGAGAAAGAGAGAGAGAGAGAGAGAGAGTGAGAAGGAAAAGGGTGGTGCAAGAGTCGAAGAAGATCGCGCGGCGATGAAAGGAGGGGTCGGTGTCCGTGGGATTTCACTTCCGCGCAGATTTCTTACAGAACGGCTATTGGAATTGTAAATTTTTCGGGGGCAATGTGCACAGGTACGTGGGCGAGACCGAGGTGAGGACTCTAAGGCCGCAGGTAAACTCCACGGAGATTGATAATCCTCGAACTTGGGCGACCTACAGCATCTGCGAGATTATGGCTGAGAGGTCGCGCTACGGGCAGCCGATTCGGTGCGTCGCCATTCATCCTGCCTACGACAATCCTACCATGTCTTCGAACACGGAAGTGAGATTCGACGTTAGATGTAAGTACTATTTTTCACCTTTTTCTACCTGTACCTTTGTTCTTTGTCGTCTATTTTCATACAGACGTTTTCATTCGTCGAAGTTGGCGTACGTAACTTTCACAGAGAATTTCAGGTGGTTTTTGTCAGTGGAACGTAATAGTTTCAGCTCGTGTCTACAGCCGATATTGAAAACAAATATTATTCTATGGTTAACGCGGTATTTTAATGCGACGCCTATATAGAGTTAGGGAGAGAACAGCTTGTCTCTGCTGGCAGCGGATTAAGATCGAGGGAAATTAATTCCTCGGGCTAGTTTAACAAACGATATCGAGTTACACCGATACGTGGCTTAAGTACTTCGGCATAAACGGGATTTAGGTTTACCGTAAAGCGTCCCCTTGTTATAAAGTCGTTCCCACCGCCGCTTCATCTCCACCGTTCCACCTCCTAATACGGATTACCCGATCGAGATTAATATTTAAGAATAATCAGAGTTATCCGCAGTCTCTCCAACCAACTTTTCCTACGGTGATTACGAATTTTTTTAACGAGATCGCCGACGTTGGTAACAATTTTCCTTCGACGCGAAAGGAAAATCACGATGCTACGAAGGACCTACGGAGAGTAATTTCGACGCATCGAACGAGACTTCGAAACGCGGTTGCACGAGTAGTTCATCGGCGAATTTTGTTCGGATTGCCGGGGAAGTAAAGGCGGCGGAGAAGAGTGAGATTAAAATCGCAGCGGAGCTTTCGTTCCCGGGTAAAGGACGAAATAAAAGAGAAAAGACGCTTCCTTTCAGTCGTCGCGAAACATTTTTCTACTCACACGAAACACGCTCGGTGTAAGCGTCTGTTGAACGTTTTAATCAGCACTGGTTTGCTGCTTTTAGCGTATATTTGATTTGCCAGTCGCTCGTGACGTTTAAGTGCAGGTTGAAAAAGGATTTCTCTTTCTTTCTCTTTTTTCTAAATCTTAGAAGAGCACACCCATTTACAGCGAGTAACGGAGTGCCATTTGCAACAAGCATTCTGTTACGACGTTCGCTGCGGACGCAAGATCACTCGGA